CTACACACACATATGCACCTTGTTCACTTATATTTTCATCACATATATTTAGAAGAGGCATAACAGTACCAGTGCCACAGGCCCTGAATTGAAGTCATCCTTGAACAGAGGTAGAACACTGGCTCTTCTATATCTGTTAAAGGAAAAGAGAGTCATTTCCCCCCTTCGTAAGAACAGTGTTTTTGGCGTTCCCTTTGTCTGGCTCCTGGGCCTCCTGGACTCAGTCTCACAAGAAAGGATGAGCAGCAAGGCTTAACTCCTGCTGCCACCCCGAACTGTCCAGTGGCTGTGCTGCTGGCCCCGGTGGATCTTCATGTGTTTGGCTAAGTGGTCACTGCGGGCAAACTTCTTCTCGCAGGCGGCACACTGGTAAGGCTTGACACCAGAGTGGGAGCGTTTGTGACGGGAGAGTTCATCTGATCGGGAAAACCTGCAGAAGAAGGGAAGCATGGTGGATCCAGCATTCACTGCTAGACAGCCCAGGAAATGCGAGGACCCTGGTAACTGGGAGGCTGAGGTGCATCTCTGCCACAGACTCTTGGTGGGACCCTGGACGAGTCACTTCTCTTCTGCTCTATCCAACCAAGAGCAAGGCACACAGGTACCCCAGGCTCCTGCTGGAGGCAATGGTAAGAAATACACCCCTCCAAGGGGGAATTTAGACAAAGGGAAAAGAATTCACCCATGGAGGTCTTCATTTCTTTACGCTGATCTTAAAAGGACAGTGTTCACCTACTTCCTTCCTTGATTTAGACTCGCTGAAAACCTGTTGAAAGCTGACAGCCCCAAGGCCAGACACTGAGACAAACTGCTTTTTGGGGTATCAGCCCAGATTGGCAGTGGCTAAAGGGTGGAAAGACTTTATTGTCACTTTGCACATCCAGCCAGAAAGGGAATCACTGCCGAGAGAAAGCTTGTTTTTCCTGAGAGAGCACTGATTCTCCTTGCAAAGTCAGCGTGGCAGAGTGTTCTCACCGTCAGCCCGGGCTAGCTGGGGAGCTGGGGAGAGAGAGGCCGCCTGTGAGCTGATTTAAACATCAAGCACAAAGGAGGAAAAGCGAATGCAGCCAGCCTCCAGCGGAGAAGCAGAGGTTTCCATGCAGAAGCAAGCTAACTACTGTTCTTCTGAGGATGTAGTAACAAGGGCCGCATGAATACCCAAAGTGTCCATGCTGCTTGTCTGTGTAATTTGCACACCTGGAACAGATCAGGGGAACAGCCTGGAAAGTCCCTTTAATCACATGCATGTCCCCACTTAATTCTCCTACACCCTTTCTTCTACCTGGCACACACAAATCCAGACCTAGGGGCACCTGCAGCAGGTGAGCAAGTTGATCTGCAGCTATTTTAGGAGTGCCATCTCAATGGTCCTAGTATCACAAGGCCTAGGAGCTGATGTGACTTTAGCATGCTCTGCATGTCCAAGTATCCAGGGAATGCTGGAGAGAAGGACTGGGCAGGATCTACCCCAGTTCCGCTTCTAAGGAGCCAACACAGATGGCAGGAGTGTTAGGATGGAAGGGTTTCTCCATCTGGCTGAAACATGTCTATGCAAAGAAGCATAAAGCAAGGTGCTTCAGATATAACCTCAGACTTCCAGAGGTAGGATTTCAAGCTCAAATCTGGTATAGTAAATACTGCACCTGCTCACAAAAGGCTTTATGAAAACTAAATGTGTCCCAAGACCATCTTTGGATCTTCCATTAAAAACACTGACTTCTCTCCAGCTTTGTTGTAAGAAATGAGTTCCAAGGTCTCAGCTCCCCATAGTAAGCAGAGCCAGGGGAAGTGACATAAGAATTTACAGTTAGGGCCCCATCTAGTGAAGGGAGCACAGCCTGGAGAACCTCATCTGCAGCAGAGTATGTCGCTAACAGTGTAACTGCTCCCACGGAGGGGGAGGACAGGGCAGCAAGTGAGCACAGTAATTCAGCAGACAGCCTGCAGGCTGGGTCCTGCTTACAGGATGCTGTGGTGCAGGCAAGCACCGTCCTTTTCCTCCCTCCCAGAGGGAAAAGCTGTTCAGGCTGACTGCTGGGCCGGGATCAGATGGAGGAAGAGACAGGTGGCTGGGCGGGGAGCGACGCTGATGCCTGTGAAGTTGCCATGCTCCCTTTCCTCCATCTCCGGGCTCCTCAGCCAGGTGCAGGAGGGTATGCCTAGCAGTACTGGTTGGTACTGGAAAAGGAGCTGATGCAGTAGATAGATGTCTACTGCAGGGATAGGTGAAATGGGGGCACAACTGCTGATGGCAAAGGAACAGCAGCCTGGCAAGAGGCAGTCCTGAAATTCAGATCTAGCCTCACACCTTCTGAAGCTTCACTACCCTAAGACAGAAGCCATAACGCACCATCTGGGTAAACACGGCAGTGAGTGTATGCCAAAGCATTGCCTAAGAAACCAGGAAAGCTCAGCACTGCCAGCACCAGCTTTCTTTGCGATACGCTTTGAGATCTACTGATGAAAGGTGCTACGCAAGACCTGAGGACTATTAACTCTTCTTGCCAAAGGCTGCACTGAGCATCCTGCCCCCAGGACAGGTACGCAGTACCAGGAAGAGAATACCAAAGCACAAAAAAATTCAGAGAAGCACAACAAGACTGATTAAGAAAATAACGACCATCACAGAGCAAACAGAAGTAGAGCAACATGGATACATGCTACTGGCCCACAGATATCTGAAGGATAGGAGCAACCAGGGCAAGCAAACAGCAAGACAGAGCAAAGTGACGCTAAACAAACATAGAACTACGTATTGGCTCCTCAGGAAGCAGTGCAACTCCTATTATCTGGGGCAAATATTAACAGGAAAAACCATTTGTGTAGCCCAACTACAAAAACTATCCTGAACTAGACAAAGAAAGTGTGCAAAGCCCCAAATTACTTGGGAAAAGCTGGATTTCTAGAGGGTATTTAGGCATCCAGTTCACGTCTCAAGGGAGACTTTGAGTGTTTGGTACAGTGTCAGACGTGCTTCTCCAACTGGAGTTATTCAGCACTTCAGATTAAGTGAAAACTACCCAAGTTGTCTCAACAAATTTTTCTCCTCCAGTCCTCCTTACACTCCTTACTCACCTCTAAATCATTGGGGAAAGAAAATTTTATCCTGTATTTTCACTACCCGAAAGCTCTCCTGAATCCTGACAAGCAACAAGAGACCTTTGGCAGGGACGCCTGCTCGCCCAGAGACCTGTGGCTTCTACTTACCGCCAGCCACAGTTGGGCCAAGCACAAGTGTAGGGTTTCTCCCCAGTGTGCCGCCGGAAGTGAGCCTTGAGGTGGGAACTCTTGGTGTACATCTTGCCACAGCCCGGATGCACGCACTTGTGGATGCGAACGAGGGAAGGGGAGGCTTTCTCAAATTTGGTGGTTGCCTTCACCTCCTGCTCATCCCTTGGAGTCCCTGGTTGCAGGGCAGCCGGCAGGGGGGCAATTTTGACATACTTTTGGTCCAAGATGGGCACAGGGTGCTGGATCTGAGGAAGGAGGGCCAGGCTTTGGCCGTGCAAGCTGATAATCAACTGGGCCACCCTGACACTACCCATAGCACTTTGTGTTAGCGGGCTCCCACTGTCCATCTGGAGAGGCTGGATTTGGAGGACAACAGGAATGCTCCCAGCAGCTACTGCCTGGCCGCTACCATCAGCTGTCCCTTCTGGCTGGGCAGCGATCAACACATCTCCTTCTTGAACCATCCTGGACACAGGCTGCTCCCCAGAGGTGCCTAAGCTGATCTCGGATTTGATCTTGAGCTTTCCTCCAGGTGGGAGATGCTCTTTTGCTTCATCTTGGAGGAACTCAGCCTTCTCCCTCAGGAACTCCTCAATCTCCTCCAGGGTGGGAAAAAAGTCCTGGGAAAGATTGCTGCAGAAGTCAGGCAGCTTGAGGTGAGACTCACAGACAATGATTTGGGGTTTTGCATCCTCCTCCTTTCCCCAGGACAGGGGGAGGGAGGTGCCTTCAGAGCGGCTGGTGCTGCCTGGAAGGAGATGGTCACAGCCTTCTAGGTGGCTGGAGGCCCTCTCACTGCCAGGCTCTCGCAGAAGGGATGGTGGCATGCTGCTCTGCAGAGCACCTGCAAAGCTCTCTAGCAGTGGGGATCTGGCCGAGCTGGTCAAGGAATCTGAAGGGGGTAGCAGCTCTTTGCAACTCACAGAGACCATCTGTTGGCTTGCTTGCTGTGCCCCCACAAAGCTCTTCGCTCAGCTGGGTCTGGAGCCTCTTTGAGAGCTCAGCTGGGACTCCTGAGGCTGGGAAAGTCTTTGCCCATCTGCAAGGGAACACCACCAAGGTTATTTCCAAATTAAAGAAAAAAACCCCCAACCTTTGAATAAGATGGATTGTGCATAGAAAGAGAACATCAAAAGGAGTCAGTGGCTTTTGCTTGTTTTAAAGGTTCCATTGCTCAAAAACTGACCATTTCCTTGTAAGAGAATCCAAGAGGCTGCAAAGAGATAGATTCCTCTCAGAAGCAAACTCCTCTGGCAAGTTTATTAAGGCAATAATACCCTATGAAACACTTTACACTCTTCCACCTAACTCCCTGTTATCCCTGCCGGAGGGCAGGTATGCACTGCTAGATGGCAGAGAGGATGTCTTGTGGCTTTCGACGAAGAACTAATCGTGGTCTATGAGAGGGATCTGATTTCTCCACACTGCAAACATTGGTATAACCACAACCTAATGCAGACTTATCCAGGTTAGATTAGAACCAACCAGTTTGGGAACTGATAACAAGACAGCCAGGGGAGTGCCCACTGCCAAACTGCTTGGGGCTCTGTGCAAACGCCAACTGGAAGTATTCACCGGCAGCCATGCTGCTATGGTTATGCTGGCTATTGGTACCTTAACAGGCAAGTTTAAAGCCTGCCAAGGTCCACCCAAGCTGCAGTCACACCTTCAGAAAGCAGTGCAGAGAGACAGGGCCCTTCGAGACACAAACATTACGTTTCTAAATAGATAAAAAAGTCCACGATACCCTTAGGTTAGACCCATGCAGTCTCCTGAAAGCAACTGGTCTCCCACAATTCAACACATTAAAACCCACAGGCCCTGCTGTCGCTTGTATGGTTAATGTAGTGTCTAAGCATCCACTGAGCTCTGCAGAGCAGGCACTCGCCATCTCTGCCCCGCAAGAGGGCAGCTTGGGGACTGCGTGCTGCTTCTGCAACACCTAAACCACTCAATGAAGGCACAATTTTTTTACTCACATATCTAGACTTTCAGTGCAGAAGGTGAGTTTCCAAAAAAAAGAAACTGTGTGCCGGAGTCACTTGTGAACCTTCTCCAGGGTAAAAGAACCCATAAGATTTCTGCAGAGTTGCAAACCAGTCAAGCCAGTCCTTGTGATCACTGCTTCCTTAGGGTCCTGGGAGCTGAGAAAGGGAAATTTCTGAGAAGCATTCTGGATTTAACATAAACGCTTTTCTCTTTAAGAGCAAACAATCCTCACATAGTTCAAAATCTGCTAAGAGCAAGATGCCATATTGCTCAGTGCCATTTGCAATGCTGCCCACAATCTGTCTCCAGCACAACTCTGCATCAACGTTTCATGCTAAGTAGAGGCCAACACTACTCATACATGAGGCAAGAATGATGTTTGAGCCACCCTCTACCTTCAGGTTTTCATCCTAGCGCGGACTCATACTCTGAACCATCACCTTCAAGGCAATACCCAATCCCACCCCTTCTTCTACCTCTGTTCCAATTTTTTATGATCTCTTTCTGGTCTCTGCTTCTCTGACTCTCTCGTCACCTCCTTCCATGTGCTTCACAGACTCAGAACAGCCTCCCCGCCTCTGGCAACCATACACTTCTGTTTTCTTCTTCCAGAAAGTCTTAAAACCTGGTTTTCCAACATGCTCTCCTTGCAAAGCAGCTCAGGAAGTCTCTAACCCTTCAGTATGCCCCCAGGACAAGTGAATTAAGAATATCAGCTCCCTAGCACAGAAGCTTCATTGAGTACATACCTTGCAAATTCAGACTGAACAGTTCTGTGGGGCTAACAATGTGAAAAAAAGTGCAATCAGAGGGCAGGAAGGATGGTCCAGTGATTAAGCCACCAGCTTGGGACCTGAGGCGACCTGAGCGGGGCTTCCTGCTCCAATGCAGATTTCCTGTACAACCTCGGGACAATTACTGGAGTGCTCTGGTCCTCAGCTCCCTCTCCAAGGGGGGGCAAGAGTAACATCCTACCTCACTGGGCAGTGAGAAGGGGAAATGTGTAACCCTGCGGGGTGCCCCATTACTAATGGACTTTCAGAGACCCATTAGACTTGTCAGTGCCTCATCAATCCAAAGCATTTTTGCAAAATGCACATCCATCAGTACTGTTATCCCAATGGGTTAATACAAGCAAGTGCAAGAAAACAGAGACCAAACTTTAGCCTTCACTGAAGAATACTGCAAGACAAGGTCAATCTGATTTTCAAGCAACACTTAGCATTTCTATTCCTATAGTTTTTCAAATCTCTAAGAGCACTCAATTACCCTATGAAATCAGCAGATGTGCAGATTAAGCACATGGAGAAAAAATAATTTGCCCAAGGTCAGCCAACAAGCAGGAGCTGGGAACTGAACTGAGGGTTACAGCTTTCCTCTCCAGTCACTAAACAACACAGACACAAAAAGCACCGGTAATCTCTTCAGAACTGTGAATGACATTCATGCCACCAGTGCAAAACCTTGACTCTCAAAACCTTTCAGGGACAACCACAACCAACATGATAAATAAGTATTTAAGGTGCTGGCAATCAATGCTGCCTGTAGCGCACCCCTTAACCGAGGTAATAAAGGGATGCCCCATGCTGTGACCCAGCCAAGGACAAGCTGAGGCTAGCATGACACAGCTGCCCCAAAAAACACTGCAGGCAGGTTGCAGCTGCGGAGAGCCACGGACCAGGCTGGAAACCCCCGGGGCTGAGGAGCCCGACGCTGGCACACGGCCCAGGGCTTAGCAGGCTTACTTCATCCCAGGGGAAAAAATAAAAACCCCTGTTCCTGGCCACCCCCAGCCACTGTTTCCTCCGCGGCAAGAGCTCGGCTCCAGCTGCCGGCCCCATTGGCAGCCTGCATCCGGCCCGGCCCCGCACTGCCCGGCCCCTCCTGGGGGTCACCCTGGCAGCTGGGGCAGGGTCCCTGCAGCCCCCATCACCCTGCCTTTTGGGCGGCAGGAGGAGCGCTCCCAGTGTGCATGGGCTCTACCTGGAATGGGCTCATGTCGACTTGTCTCCTGCTTTGTCCGAGCGCTCAACCTGGTCCTGAGGAGATGCCTTGGACCTCTGCAGTTTGCCGTTGTCTCCATTCCCAATTAATTTATGCTGGGAACAGTCTGGACTTCTCCAACCGTTCAGAAGAAAAATTGTGTCCTAGCAGGTGGGAGCAG